TTACTTGTGATATGGTGTTCGTGTGGGGTGGAGTGGGGACGTGTACGCCAGGGAAGTTTAATCACCTGTACCATATATCCAGTGGGTTTGATGAGGAAGTTGTGCAAATGAATTCCCACCACTTCTATCGTGGCCAGCATCCCACTGGGAAGCTGCATCGATAATAGCCTATGAATTTAATTCCCGGTGGGTGGGGTGTGGGTGTGGGTGGCAAATCCTCGGCCACGTTCACTGTGCGATTTGTTGCAGCCACGTGTGAAATCACTCTACTGCTGGATGATAATCTTTTCGGTGTTCAAGAATCCATTCGGACAGTAGCCTGACCTTGCGTCCCATGTGCGTTGTACCACAGGAACAAGTAAATGAGCACAAACAGAATGACACTGTACACAATTAGGAACTTTGTACTTCAGTTACAAACGCAATTCGCTTTGATGATTTCTGGTCTCATGATGAAATTGATCCTAGTAATTTTTGTTTTATTTCATTTCGAAGACAATTATTTTCTTTGTGGTATATATCTATTGTGTTGTATTGACATGAATACAGACCACTGAAAATATATATGTATACAGTCTCTTAATAATAAAAATAATTTATCTAAATTTTCTATTCCGGTCTGCATCATGTGCCCTTATGCTGTATATTGTGTTTTATTGACTATTTGTGAGGTCAAATAAGCCTTTCGGAAAGAATTTTTTCGCTGAAAATTCAAGAACCAACCCATCATTCAAAAATCTTGGCGGATTTAACTTTTATTTAACCTATCAGACAAGCGATGGTTATTAGCCCATGTGGATTGCGGCTGAACTTGATCTCCGATTCGATCGTGAGCGGAAAAATAAAAACCCGTCACGAATAATCACCTTGCTCATTTACAACTTTCCGAATTGTCTTCTCCGTTCGGATTATTGTGATCTGCCTCACAGTGAGCATATCTAGTTACTTACAGTTATCGCATGCCCGTGAATAACCTAGTTGCAACTATGCATGGCTCGATACAAAATATTGTCTATGTCCAATTGTGTCGGTTATCAGTTAGTATCAGCAGTCTAAGTGTTTCGCTTTGATCTTGAGAACAGTAATACTGCGTATCAAAAATGTTTGAATGACTAATGAGGAATCAATCTTTCTGAACATATGGACCAAGTGTGACAGTGTTTGCTACTTGGATCAATTGACCCACATTCTCGTACTCGACGTTCTCATTACCAATACACATTGGCCTGTGAAATCTCGACAGAGTGGAGCATGCCCATTTCGCTGGAGATCAGTTACTAGCTGACCTGTGCGCGGTTCGATCAGTACAGTTGAACAGTAGTCTCAGACTCGCTTTTTGCCTAGCCGTGTATCCATTTGAACTTACGTCACTCTGCTGACTAGAGTCCATAAAATAAATAGTGGTGCATGAAATCCCTGTCCACTGGGAAGAAGCCATCAGAACATTGTCTACATCACCGCATTCAAGAAATCACAATTGCGTTTTTATTACTTACATAATAGCCATTAAGAACGTTTTGCGGAACCTTAAACGCCTTTGAATAGTCAAGTAAAAGTCAGTGGAATCGGAAGAATTGCGGCTCTTTTTATGTTCTTTAGCTCTTTCATTATGCAATCAATTTTCAAGAAGGCGAAGGGGTTTACTAAATGGTTGCAATGTAATACAAAAACAAGGAGAGTGCTAAACCGTTGTGATTGGTTTCGAACACATGAGGTACGAGGTGATAAGTTGATGGCCATAAAACCCAAAGCATTTGCAAGCTACCGTATTTGGGTTATGGTGCAAAAGGGATCAGCGTGAAACGTAATGGAAATCCCCTATGGATTGCGATTATACGTGCCTGCGAAAGCAAGAAAGTTTATGTGCATGAGCGAACCAAATGTCACCCTGTGTTGTTGGTGAAGTGTCAATACGAACATAAAAACAGTTGGTGCGGAAAAAGTGATGGCTGGAAATGTCAACTATTGTCCAAATCTCTCCTTGCAGTCGATCACAACATAAGTTCGAAATATTTTATCCTCGGGGTGCACACAAGGATGGTCTTTTATGAAATGTGACTAACTGTTTTTTTTAATTTATTCAGCGTTTTCGCCATTATGGAAAACCGGAAATCGACCTATTTCCTTCCTGTATCACTTCATGTGAACAAGTAACTAAATTTAAAAATGAATTTCCGGTCGAGGATTCAGCGGCAGAATGGGACTCACGAAGTCTTTTCACCATGTTTCTGTGTTTTAAGATTTCATAATCATCCACTACTACTATTTCCACCCAACAAGGACTTGGTCACTAAAACATTTCAGTGGTACTTAGTATTGATTGGGTACTTAAGGTTACAATTCGATCCCTTCCAGAAAAGTGAATAATGGAGTCTTATCATTTCTCCCCGGATATCGTTTGCGTTTGAGTTTCACCATTTAGGCCTAAGTGTTTAGGATCTTTGACCCCAGGGAACCACTGTTTGCGTGTTTCTTTTGTTTCGAAGATCGAACACACAATTTGATATATATATATATATATATATAATGTCGAGAATACATATATATTCTTGTCACAATAACCTTATTTGCTACTATTCGCAACAACCATCTAAAAGAGTTGTCTGTCCAAAATCTCCCGGTGTTTGCAAATGACGTTACTATAACGAAAATGTACTTCTTGGGTAAAGTTATGTGAATGAAGTGACGAAGGATTGTCAGATACGCACGCTTGATGGGTGGCAAGATTCGCGAAACCAGTCATTTGCTTCCAGGGAAATTTTGCCAAGCCATTCATATACTACTGATTGTGAACAAGGATGATGCCAAAGCAACAGTAATGATAGCAGAGGATTAGGAAATTGTGGTACAGAAATGAGCGATATGGAGATCAAACAGTTACAGTGGATTAGGATAACAAGGATAGCACAGACTAAAATAATAATGCATGGCGTAATGTAATGCATAAGCTCGTTACAACTTCATTATCAACAGAACACCAAAGATCTCGACTATTTCGATCGCGAGTTAACGGGCTATTTTGGACTTGGAACTTGTCAAGCGGTGGATATTTGTATAACTATCTCCTCGATACTTCGCTTGGCAAAATATACCACTTCTCATTAGGAAGATCGGTACACTGCAAATTACGCTAATAATTTGGTCACATGAATGTCATTCCGACATGAGATCACAACTCCGAAGTATGGGTGACATGACAACTCTGTCTGAGCACTGTTGAAGAAGTTCTTGACCTGATCGCTCTAACGTTTACATAAAGGCATACTGTCTAGCGGTACACAAAACATACATTCTGTATTAGTAAACATATATACTAGCAATCACAATGTCCCATTGCATTCTTTTTGTTACGTTGCGTCACACGGAACTTCTTTACTGACTGCGGTCATAACGATCCATAAACGAACCCGCCGTAGGAAATTCACATCTGTTATTGTAACTCTGGTGTTTATTCCCATTATCTGCATTAAGCATCTGATTGACTTTGTGCGATGTTAGGGTTGACACGTAAAAGCGATTCGTTTAGCTGGTTGACAAACGTATCATGCACATCCGAAAAGCTGTATGCAACGAACTCAAGCGTTTTGAACTGCAACTTCCCGTATGTTTGAACAGGCTATCGTCAAGTTGCGCATCGAATATCATTTGTCAGCAATTGACACGTCAAGTCCTAGTTTGTTTTTGGCCATCGCATCTTTTTTCGCAATAGGATGATGAAATTGGAACTAACCGATTCACATTGTTTTAATCTGGCGCCAATTACGTAGGTTTCTTTTAGAGCGACGCCAGAATTTTTTGGTTTTGTCGCGTTATCTTTTATTCGTACCGACGGGCTGCTGTCCCCGCGCTACTCGGTGTAGCAGGGGAAACCGCTGTTTTTGTCACTGCATTGGGTTATCCTCTGATAGGGTTCCATGGTTTTAGCTTCGAAAACATATTCGATCTTCTCCAACGAACCCTCCTAGTGAGCTGAACTTTCTCACAAATCAACAGAACTTTCCGCGAACTGTTAGGACGAGGTTAGGACAAGACACACCGAGAACAGCACAGACCAGAGTCGCTATTGTTCTCGCACCCCTCAACAATTTTGTGACTCACTACCCCCCCCCCC